ATCTCGCGTAAGAAAAATTGCTGTGACCAGAATTTTGGCGAGAGTCTTTGCATATTTACCTTCTTTCATTTCCCAGATTTTGGACTTTATCTATTGACCGGTTTTGATTTTTATTTTGATCTATTTTGAATTGCGTGACACTGAAAACCAGCAATTGACGAAATTAATCGTAGTCTCTTCGCTTTTGACATTGAAACTTATAAGTGGATGCTAAAATTAACGACACGCGCGGAACACTCATTACGAACTCTGCAGCAATATTTAGGTTTCAATGCAACACGCAAACGATTTGAACCTGGTCACAACCTCTTCACATTCCCAGTAGAAATGGGTCACACCTGGAAAAAATGAACTTTGCAGGTTTCGAAAGGATCAACGGCAGGCTACTGCTACAGTGTTCATGGACTTCATGCGACTATTAGTTTCAATGTTTTTCCGGGCTTACAGTACTGATTGTCTTGAGCTGTCACGTGTTGGCCAACATGGTTCATGTTATTGAAGGTGAAATGATATAGAGAATAACCGAAACGGAAATGAAAATTAAATCAAGTAAGCAGGAGGTTCCAGTTAGATGGTCAGTTATCGCGGGAAAAAATTGCGATAAATGTATGACGGAAATCCAGGAGAAATCGATTTTGGTTCGAGTTAGAGCGAGGTTCGAATTAGTATGAGTTTGAGTCATCAAAGTTATCAGGAGTCGACTATACCGTGTTTCTTTTGACACTAAATGGGAAATACATAAAGATTTGTTAGCTGTAGCGAAATTTAGAGCAAGCAAGCTGCCTTAGAATACAGAGAGCGCTGTCAGGTCCGTGTTTGTTAGATACCAGAGGTATTTCCAAAGATGCCACGCATAATCTTGAAAGAAAGATAATTATTTCGAGATTTGAATTGCGTACGAAAATCTCGTGATTTGAAGTGGGACTGAACCGTAGCAGTGTTTTCCCCGCTTTGTTAGGCGTTAATTTACAAACGGAAACATTTCCGTCTCATGGAATTTCTTAGGAACAAACTGTTTTGGTAATGTGTAACTTACAGTATAAGATCTGAAAATATGTGATGTAAAAGTTACTTACTCGGCTACAGTCTATATTTTACCTTGCGTAGGCAAACGGAATAATAACAACACCACAAGATGATACTGCTGCTCGATAATTCTTCTTTTAATGGTCTATCTTCAGACTTGTCCGCCATCTTTTACAGCATGACAAGGATAATGCATGTCAAACAAACTTTAAAGTGAGAGTTCAGACACAAGAATTTCATCTACTTATAGCCCAACGCGGCATTTTGAAGGACGACTTTAAATCGAAAATTTCTCCATCAAAGAAGTGGAGATATCAGAAATTAGTATCACCCAACTAGTGGACTAATGCAAATCCTGCATTTTGATTGGCTACGCTACTAGGGGA